AGCGGGGCCTCTATCCGTGACACGCTCGCAGGGCGTGGCAGGCGCGGCACTTCTCGACACCATGGGGGTGCGCAGAGGGTGGTCCTCAGTGCGGCCTCTATGTCGCAGGCAGGCGTGGCACTTTCTCGACACCACATGGGGGTGCGCAGGGGGTGGCCCCTGAGCGCGGCCTCTATCCGTGACACGCTCGCAGGGCGTGGCAGGCGCGGCACTTTCTCGACACCACTGGGGGGGCGCAGAGGGTGGTCCCTCAGCGGGGCCTCTATCCGTGACACGCTCGCAGGGCGTGGCAGGCGCGGCACATTCTCGACATCACATGGGGGTGCGCAGAGGGTGGTCCCTCAGTGCGGCCTCTATCCGTGACACGCTCGCAGAGCGTGGCAGGCGCGGCACTTTCTCGACACCACTGGGGGGGCGCAGAGGGTGGTCCCTCAGCGGGGCCTCTATCCGTGACACGCTCGCAGGGCGTGGCAGGCGCGGCACATTCTCGACACCACATGGGGGTGCGCAGAGGGTGGTCCTTCAGTGCGGCCTCTATCCGTGACACGCTCGCAGATCGTGTCAGGAGTGGCACTTTCTCGACACCACATGGGGGTGCGCAGAGGGTGGTCTCTTTGCGCGGCCTCTATCCGTGACACGCTCGCAGGGCGTGGCAGGCGTGGCACTTTCTCGACGCCACAGGGGATGCGCAGAGGGTGGTGTTTCTCAGTGCGGCCTCTATCCGTGACACGCTCGCAGATCGTGGCAGGAGTGGCACTTTCTCGACACCACAGGGGGTGCGCAGAGGGTGGTGGTCCCTCAGCGCTGCCTCTATCCGTGACACGCTCGCAGATCGTGGCAGGAGTGGCACTTGCTCGACACCACAGGGGGTGCGCAGAGGGTGGTCCCTCAGCGCGGCCTCTATCTGTGACACGCTCGCAGATCTTGGCAGGAGTGGCACTTTCTCGACACCACAGGGGGTGCGCAGAGGGTGGTCCCTCAGCGGGGCCTCTATCCGTGACACGCTCGCAGATCGTGTCAGGAGTGGCACTTTCTCGGCACCACAGGAGGTGCGCAGATGGTGGTCCCTCAGCGCGGCCGCTATGCACGACGGTCGTCCAGGGAATAGCAGGCGTGGCACTTTCTCGACGTCATAGAGGGTGCGCATGGGGTGGTCCCTCACCGCGGCCGCTACGCACGACGGTCGTCCAGGGCATAGCAGGCGTGGCACTTTCTCGACACCATCGAGGGTGCGCAGGGGGTGGTCCCTCACCGCGGCCGCTGGCTGGCTCGAATCTGTCCTCGACGGAGGATAGAAGGCTAGGAAGAGGGAGGAGGTTCAAGCAATATGGCGTTGGATGACACATAGGGGAACATTCGCGACGAGGGCTGAGAAAGCAGAATTGCGCATATAGTATAAACTTAAGCAAACACACAAGATTTAAGTTCAGTATGTGGGGTTCCTCGGTAGCGTAATTATAATTATAGTTCTAGTTCGAGGTCTAGTTCTAGCCGTGTAGTAGTAGTAGTAGTAGTAGTAGTAGTAGTAGTAGTAGTAGTAGTAGTAGTAGTAGTAGTAGTAGTCGTAGTCGTAGTCGTAGTCGTAGTCGTAGTCGTAGTCGTAGTCGTAGTCGTAGTCGTAGTCGTAGTCGTAGTCGTAGTAGTAGTAGTAGTAGTAGTAGTAGTAGTAGTAGTAGTCGTAGTCGTAGTAGTAGTCGTAGTCGTAGTAGTCGTAGTAGTAGTGTAGTAGTAGTAGTAGTAGTAGGTAGTGTAGTGGTGGTGGTGGTGGTGGTGGTGGTGGTGGTGGTGGTGGTGGTGGTGGTGGTGGTGGTGGTGTAGTGTAGTAGTAGTAGTAGTAGTCGTAGTAGTAGTAGTAGTAGTAGTAGTAGTAGTAGTAGTAGTAGTAGTAGTAGTAGTGGTAGTGGTAGTAGTAGTAGTAGTAGTAGTAGTAGTAGTAGTAGTAGTAGTCGTAGTCGTAGTAGTAGTAGTAGTAGTAGTAGTAGTCGTAGTAGTCGTAGTAGTCGTCGTCTGAATAGTCGTGGTGGTGGTGGTGCTGGTGGTGGTGATGGTGGTGGTTGTGATGATGAAAGTACGACTGCTAGTACACGTCGTGGTGGCAGTGGTTGTGGTGGTCGTTGTGGTAGTGGTCGAGGTTATTGCAGTGGTAATGGTGGTAGTGGTTGTGGTAGTGGTAGTGGCAATGGTAGTGCTAGTGGTAGTTGTGGTGATCGTCGTAGTGGTCGTGGTAATGATGTGTGGTAGCGGTAAGCGTAGTGGAAGTAGAAACCAGGAAGAGGGCGGCAAGTGGCGGGTGAGGATTGCGGAATTTCAAGTGCGGAGTGTTGATTTTGGTTTGTGGAGTGTGGGGTGTGGAGGAGGATGCAGGAGGTAGGGGGTAGGAGCACGAAGGAGGCGGGTGCGTGGGCGTGGGAGGAGATGGAGGAGGACCCTCCCCGCTCCAGGACGTGTTGCGAGACCGTGTGAAGGCGCTGCAGAAGAACGACCCTAAGGGCAAGGAGCAGCGCGGGGCTCGGCACGCCCTCGCGCGGCGATGTCGTCGCAAGTTCTGAGGCTGGGGAGGGAGGGAGGCAGGAAGGGAAGGCGGGATGGAGGGAGGGAGGGGGGTCCGAGGTGCGGCGCCCCCGCGCGCTGCCGGGCGAGGCCGCGCTCGGCGGCGAGACGGGCAACCGGTCGCATTACGGCGGACCCGATGTCGATGGATCTGTTCGGGCGTCTCGGCCTCGCTGTTCAACGCAGTTGGATGCGGCAGTTCAGTCCTCCCCTCCTGGAACCTTCCTGAGGAAGTTTTTTGGAAGGCTGTAGGAAGGTTCTTCCAAAACGCCCTCCTGAGGAAGGTTGGTTGGAAGGTTTTAGGAAGGTTCTTCCAAACAAAATCTCTTGAGGAAGGTTTTTCGGAAGGTTTCAGGAGAGTTCTTCCAAACAAACTCTCTTGGGGAAGGTTTTCGGAAGGTTTTAGGAATGTTCTTCCAAACTAACCTCCTGAGGAAGGTTGTTTGGAAGGTTTTAGGAAGGTTCTTCCAACAAAAACCCTCCTGAGGAAGTCAGTTTTGGAATGTTTTAGGAAGGTTTTTCCAACAAGTCCTCCTGAGGAAGGTTTTTTGACAGGTTTTAGGGAGGTTCTTCCAAACAAGCCCTCCTGAGGAAGGTTTTTCGGAAGGTTTCAGGAACGTTCATCCAACAAAAACATGTTCCCGAGAAAGGTTTTTGGAAGATGTTTGGAGGGTTCTTCCAACCACAACACCCTCCTGAGGAAGTTTGTTTTGAAAGGTTTTAGGACGGTTCTTCCAAAAAGTCTTCGTGAGGACGGTTTTTGGAAGGTTTTAGGAAGGTTATTCCAAACTGCCCTCCTGAGGAATGTTTTTGGGATGGTTTTAGAGAGGTTCTTCCAAACAGTTGTTTCGAAGGTTTTGAGACACTGTTTTTGAACAGGTTTTAGGAGGTTCTTTCGAATTCGAAAAAAACGCACGGAGGAAGATTTTTGGTTTTTTTTAGGAAGGTTCCTCCAATAAGCCCCTTTGATGTAGATTTTCGGACGAGTTTAGGAAGGCTCTTCCAACAAACCCTCCAGAGGAAGGTGTTTGGAAGGTTGAAGGAAGCTTCTTCCAAAAAGCCCTCTTGCGGAAGGTTGTTCGAGGGTTTTACAAAGCTTCTTCCACAACAACCATCCTGAGGAAGTTGTTCTGGAAGGTTTTAAGACGTTTTTTTCCAACGAAGCCCTCCTGAGGAAGGTTTGTTTTCAGGTTTTAAGAGAATTCTTCACACAACAACCCTCCCGAGGAAGGTAATTGGAAGGTTTTAGGAAGGTTCTTCCAAACACCCCTCTTGAGGAAGGTTTTAGGAAGGCGCTTCGAACAACATCCTCCTGAGGAAGGTTTTTGGATGGTTTTAGGAAGGTTCTTCCAAACAGAAACCCTACTGAGGAAAGTTATGCGAAGGTTCTTCCCAAACAACCATCTGGTGGAAGGTGTTAGGAGGGTTCTTCAACACATAACCTCCTGTTGAAGGGGTTCGGAAGGTTTTAGGAAGGTTCTCCAAACAAAAAAACGCTCCTGAGGAAGGTTGTTGGAAGATTTCATGAAGGTTCTTCCAACAAAAACAATCCCCTGATGGTCTTTTGGTAAGGTTTTAGGAAAGTTGTTCTAACAAACCTGTTTGATGAAGGTTTTTGGAAGGGTTTCGGAAGGCTCTTCCAAACAGTGCCCTCCTGAGGACGGTTTTGGGCAGGCTTTAGGAAGGTTCGTTGTCACAAACACACGCACACACATGTTTCCCAAACCAATATCCGGAATTATGCAAACGGAGTTCCCCACATACTGATGTTATTGGGATAGCGGAATTAAGGATCATTTTGTCATGAAATTGCCGACCTGCCCTCGCCCTCTCCATCCTTTTCTATCACATGGTTTGCGAATACCCTCCTCGCTCAGGCGGGGCCTCCCTGGAGGGGTGGGAGGGGCACGAAACCTGATAAATAACACTGTTCGCGAATACTGTCGTCGCTCAGGCGGGGCTTCCCTGGAGGGGTGGGAGGGGCACGAAACCTGATAAGTTCGCGAATATTGTCCTCGCTCAGGCGGGGCCTCCCTGGAGGGGTGGGAGGGGCACGAAATCTGGTAAAGAACACTGTTCGCGACTACAGTCCTCGCTCAGGCGGGGGCCCCCTGGAGGGGATGGAGGGGCACGCACCCTGATAAGGAACACTGTTCGCGAATAGCGTCCTCGCTCAGGCGGGGCGGGGCCTCCCTGGAGGGGTGGGAGGGGCACGAAACCTGATAAGTAACCCAGTTTTCGAATAGCGTCCTCGCTCTGGCGGGGCCTCCCTGGAGGGGTGAGAGGGGCACGAAACCTGGAAAATAACACTGTTTTCGAATAGCGTCCTCGCCCAGGCGGGGCCTCCCTGGAGGGGTGGGAGGGGCACGAAACCTGATAAATGACACAGTTTTCGAATAGCGTCCTCGCTCTGGCGGGGCCTCCCTGGAGGGGTGGGAGGCAGCCCGCCGACAAGCTCCCACGTTCGAGACCATGTGGAGCTATCTACACAGAGCCTATTTTGGAACCGCGCCGGGGAGTCCAATCGCGACCTTTCAGAGGCCGTCAGCGGCTGGCACGGACCCGCACCAGGAGGGCAGGGTCACCGCCAAGACGCTGGCTCACTACAAGAGTGCCGCCGCTCGGCTGGTGTCGTGGCGCCAGAGGCATCATGCGAACCCGTGGACACCTGACGAGTGGGGCAACACGCTGATCGAATTCAAACATAGCTTGCGAGACGAGTTGGGGGAGGCGGAGTCCATTGCGACGGTGAGCGACGTCGAGTTCCGCTTCCCCCGCATGAAGGGCAAGCTGGCCTGTTCGCATGCTGCCATCCGCGGCTGGAGTATCATGGCGCCAGTCCGACACGGTGCCCATGACGTCGCTTCCGAGCAAGTGGATAGCAACGCAGATGGCCCGCAGGAGTTGCCCTCGCCTGGGGGCAGGCGTGGCGCTGCAGGCCCACGTAGGCCTGCGGCCGTCCGAGATGCTCAGCCTGACTACCGACGACTTGACCTTCCCCGAGGACGGAGGCTATCACCAGGACGAGGGCGCGCTAGTGATCGGGCTTGGCCTCGAGACAGGGATCCAGGTCAAGCGCGCTAGAGCAGTGTCGCTTCGCTTCCCAGAAGATGCCGTCTTCATCCATCTGCTCCGTCACCTGAGGAACATCACTCCGCCAGGCCACCGTCTCTTCCCGTATCCCTTGGGGGTCTACCGCAGGGAACTGGCAGAGATCCAGAGGGGCTTCGGCATAGACGTCAGGTGGGCCCCGCACAGCCCCGGGGCAGGATGCGCTTCGGAGGCCTCAGCTTTGGGCGTACCCTTCGAAGTGATCAGAGAGACGGGCCGATGGAGAATGGATTCTGTGCATCTACATTGACGTAGTCTCGGCGGCCCAAATCAGCACGACCCTACGCCTCAAGGGCTTCGAAGCAGCACTGGCGCGGGCGACCCAGCATTGGGCCTGGTACATCGCGCGGTCTCTGGCCGGCCATGGCGCCCAAGGGGTCTAAGAAGCAGGCCGACGGGGGCCGGGCGCCAAGTGCGTAGGTGGGTGTCCTCACCAGCGGCCAGTTCGAAGGCATCGATAGGGGCGCCTGGATCGTGGTCAGTTGTGTCGCCTGCCTCGATGTCGCCGCCAGCTCCGAGCCAGCCAGCCGCCCCCTGCTCCAGTCCATGGTGGAGCGCCGCTCGCCACCCCGCCCATGACGGCGTTCGCCGCGGCGGCCGCAGCTGAGCCCGCCGCGGCGGCGGGGCCGGGGCCGGGGGCAGCTCGCGCCCCCGCGCGGCTTCGCCGTCGCGGTGTCTGGCAGCGGGTCAAGTGTTTCACTGGGATCCGCAGCGGGGCCGCCGAGGGCCTGGCGGCGGCCGTCGCCGCGCTGGCGGCGCTCCCCGCCGCGGTCTTCCCCGCCGCGGCCCGCGGGGTGGAGGCCATCGCGAACCTCGTCGAGGGCACGGGCGGGGCGGCGAACAGGGTCCAGGCATCGGGCGCGAACGTCGCGGACTCGGCGGCCCGTTTCGCAGGGGCCATCACGGACGGCACGCTGACGCTAGGGGGGGCCGCATGGGAGGGCCGCGACCTCCTGAACGTCACAGTGGCGAGTCGGTCAGGGAGACTCTTCCTGGACGCCGAGGAGGGCGCCCCCGCCCTGCTGAGGGGCGGGGCGGGGTCGCAGATTCTACAGATGCCGTTGGCGTGGGTTGAGGAACTCATCAAAGCTGTCAATATCGTCGCCCCAGGCCGCCCGCTCGCCGACCACTACATGCACCGTTTTGCGCCGGGCGGGCTCGACGAGCACGGCCTGTTCCAGGCGATGGGCTTCCAAGTGCGTTACCTACGCACAGGCCACATCGCGATGGCATGGCCGACCTCGAATATCACCTTCCAGGCCCGCTGGGCCAATCCGTGCTGGGAGCTCCTGGGCTATGACTTCGGCCCGATGACTGAGGAGATTGGCGCCGCTCCCCTCCGCGCACTGGCGGAGGCCAGCCCAGCTCCCAACCTCGACCTGAGCGTTGACGAGATCGGGGGCGCTCCGGGCATGCCATCAGCGACCTGGCCATTCTGCGTGCGCTACATCGCGCGCAACGGGAGGGAGCTCCTCAACCTCGTCAGAGATCGTTGGGCGGAGGCGGGCTTGCGGGATGGGGGTCTTTACAGCGCCGACGCCAGCGCTGCCGCCGACGCCTCCGACGCCCTCCCCGTGACGCCCGTGGCCTGCGAGATGTGGGATTCAGAGTTTTTGGCGACGGCGGCGGCGGCCCCCCCTTTCGCCGCCGCCGCCGAGAGGCCTGCGCAGACCAAGGCTTCAAGACGTCGGTATCAAGATACCTATGTGAGCAATGTTGCGTTCCTGTGAAAATGATGAGCGCTCTCACATTTGCTGTGGAGCTGGTCTTGTATATAGCCAGTCTCTTCGCGATGGCATCGGCGTCTAGGGAGGGTCCAATAGCAAGCTATAGAGATGA